ATTGGGGTCCAGTTAAATGTTTCCATGGGGGTCCCGGTTTAAATTTCCCACTGGGGCCCAGTTTCTAAATTTAGCATGGGGGCCGCCCGGCGACTTTCTACGACTCCCCTAAACAGAAAGTCAGAATACCCTGCAAACTTTCTCCAGCGCTTTTGACATCCAAACCGTCTCCAGCCGCCGCGAACGTCTCCGGCAATCAAGAGTAATGCGTCCGGGGAGCGGCGGGTCTCATCTCACCCGTCGCCGGCCGCCGCGAACGGCTCCGGCAATCAAGAGTAATGCGTCCGGGGAGCGGCGGGTCTGAAGGGCGCGTCACGAGTGCTCTCCCCGCGCTAGATCCATCGGAGGGTAAAATGTGTCATTTATGCATCGGCTCACAGAGAGAGAGAGAGAGGAGAAGGACGCCGTTCCCTGTGAAGTTAATCTAATAATAGAGTGGAAAGCAATGATTACCGTTTCATGCGCACCAGCTATTTGTAGCAGTGGTTGGCCTAATTCCGCGGGCCGCGCTTGTCAGAGCGCGGGGATTAACAAGTGTTTAGCTGGCTACCTATTGGGAGACATCAAGAAATTGTTTAATGAGATATAAACTCTTACATTTCCTTTCCGGAGACAGACAGTGTGCTGAGTCGGCTTCTCCGGGATCGGCGCAAAAGACGTGGTAAATCAAGGCTCGGTTTTCAGCAAACTTCCCGCGTTCTCTATGGAGACCTGAACACAAACATGCACACACGTGTAAGCGGCATGACACAACCAGGAGGGCCACAGACCCGCAGGTCTGGCTTAGAACACTGCGGCGCTCGGCCGCTAACCGCTCATACATTTCATTACATTGTCACCTTTATCAAGCTACAGGGCTCAGCCGGCAGGAAAGGAAATGGAAAGGGTGTAAAGGTCGGTACGGCATGTAATGTGATCAAACAACTAGGGGGAGGAACAGTTATGACTGCCCCCTCGGAATCCCGGGCATGTGGACTGTCTTATTAATGTAGACACACCACCAACAGTTTCTAATAATAGGGTGCGTTGTCTGCCAATGGCCAGCTCAGGTACGAAATGATACAACAACAATATATTACAACACATTGAATGATATACAATGTAACACAAAGGTGAAGTATAATCTGTCTATATGTTGCCTTCCCTGGATCCTCCCCTCCCCCAGCATCAATATGCCAATGAAATGATTAAATAAAACATTTGCGTTTCAATTGCATACCTTTTTTTTTTAGCCCTGGTGATGTCATCACTGGGTCTCAGTGCATCTCATGATCATGGCCGGTGGGAGGGGCCGGCAGGGAGCGGTGATATTTCCAGGAAGTTATGTAGAGCACCCTGCCGGCCCCTCCCACTTTAGGGTTAGTAGCCTGCCTCAATGCTTCTCTCAACAGCCCTCAATGCAAGCAGTGGGCTGGCTCTTGGGAGGAGTTATGCAAATATCAAAAAAACGCATTAATGGTCAGTCTGCTTGAGTTGGACGCGCAGCTGACAAATATCTGGCCATGTGTGACCCAAAGACCAGAATTCAGAGGAGATCGTGAAGGCTTGATGGCTCTTCTGTACAATTTGTTAATCTGAGCTCAGTCTGAAGAGTCGTGTACACCCCAATTCTCGCTTTCTTTTCTCAAATTATAGATTTATTGTGACTTTTCAGGATTATTTCATTATTCGGAGATCTGCCGGCGCCCCCCCCC